CTGTGTGCAGCAGCTGCCAAAAAAGCCAACACAGTTCTAGGCTGTATCAACAGAGGGAGAGAATCAAGATCCTGTGAAGTGTTAATTCCACTTTATAAGGCCTTGATAAGGCCACACTTGGAATACGGCATCCTGTTTTGATTGCCACGATGTAGAAAAGATGCAGAGAAGAGCAAGAAAGAGGATTAGGGGACTGGAGGCTAAAACATATGAGGAACGGTTGCAGAAACTGGGCATGTCTAGTTTGATGGAAAGAAGGACTAGGGGACACATGATAGCAGAGGCACCTGAAAGTAGAACAAGAAGCAATGGGTGGAAACTAATCAAAGAAAGAAGCAACTTAGGAGCAATTTCCTGACAATTAGAACAATTAACCAGTGGAACAACTTGCCTCCAGAAGTTGTGAATGCTCCAACACTGGAAGTTTTCAAGAAGATGTTGGATAGCCCTTTGTCTGAAGTGGTGTAGGGTTTCCTGTCTAGGCAGGGGGTTGGACTCCAAGGTCCCTTCCATTATTGTATTCATTTGTATTCTATTCTAATCTAAAAGTACAATTGTTGACATGTAAAATCCACAATAAAGTGGTTCATTTCATAGGCGTCCTAACTGGAGACCTACAACCCACACCTGAGTGACGCAGGGTCAGTGTGAGCTTTAGCACTTGCTGGGTGTTTGGATAGCAAGGGGTCTTTTAAGGGAGCTCTCGAAGCAGATCTGAAGGCCCAGAGGCGGAAATGGGAGAGACACAGGGTTTTAAACATCTTCAACTGATCTCAGTGCCAATCTTTCAGGATGGGCACTCTGCAATCCCAGTAGCCTCCACTAGTTAGCTGCCTCCCATTTTTTTTTACCTCCCTCTTTCTACCTTCACCTTGAATCTGGGAATGGAATGGCATCGGGCTGTATGTTCAATCTGCTATTTGGGGCACCCATTTAAACTCTCTGTGCATTTGGCTGAATGTTTGGTGATAGGAGGGAAGCTGTGCATGAGTGTGCAATTGATGTTGCAGGTGTCCCCCAACTGGAAAGCAGATGGAGTGAAACAAAAGGAGGCCCAGGGCACAAAAAATGGCAATTCAAAGCAATGGATCACAGACAAAAGTAGGAGAAATAAAATAAGAAGCTAAAGATCAACATGACCCCTCTTAGATTGTCCCTCCAAATCAGGATCATCCAATGAACAGCCTTTCCAAGGAAGAGAAAGGGCACCACGGCAGCCAACTCCTGGTACCAGAGGGGGGCTCCAAGCTGGGCAACTTCAAAGCATCAAACCCAAGTCAGGGGCACCCAGGAGCCCCCTCGGGTTCTTCTATTCCCCCAATACCACTTGGGGTGACTATTCCCAGAGATGAATGATCAGAGGAGGCTGAATTACCTCCAGATGTTGCAAGCATCCAACCTCTGGATTATTACCGAATTAAGCAGACTCAGACAGGCCTGGGGATGGTGAAGATGATGGATCTTCAGAGTGATGGGGAAGGGGGGATTTTGGACCGTCTTAAGTCAACCTCTGCACCTTTTCCTTCACAAGACCAGAGCCTGGACTGTAGAAAGGTGAGTTTTGCCTATGGGGGTCCTGAATGTAGAAGGGTCTCTCCCACCACCTGTCAAAGGGGAGCCAGCAAGGGTTTCTTACATGCAAAGCGGAGGGTTGACCCCTTCAGCTTCCTCCAGCCCCACCCCAATCTTCCCAACTGCTCTCTGCAGAGCAAAGCTAGACAATGAATGCCAAGATCAGAAGGAGCACAAAAGCACAACCAGTCTTGGCACTGCCTGCCTCCCTGCCTGCCTCCCTTCCTCCCTCCCTCCTACCCTGCCCATCAAGGGCATTTATAAACCCTACACCATTTATTTGTTCAGCCTCTTCCAAATCGTGGTTTTATTATTAGAGGCATGGAGTGGTTACAGAAGCACATTCTTGCCACAAGTGAAATGGATGGATTTGGATATCGATGATGAAGCCTAAGAATCTGAGGGATTTCAAGGGAAGCAAAAAATCCTCATCCTCATTTTGACTGAGGATAAAAGACTTCCTGGAGGATGTGGGATGACCTTATTTCCCTAAAAGGATTAAGGCAGGTGCATGTGGGGTAAAACCCCAGATTGCCTATTGCAGATGGTCAACTTCCTAGAAACTTTATGTTCACAAATCAGCTTTTCAAAGAAAGAAAACGGAACTCGGCTCTTTTGTTCCAGAAAGGAAGCAAAGCAAAGGCTCACCTGTGCAAAGCCCATTGCTCTTGTCAGTTACAGTAGCATTCTTACTCCAGAGGGTGAATCCTGAGCCACAAAAAATCCCCAAGTCAAGTTATGCCTCAGCTGGTAATTCTCAGAAGATTAACAGATTAACAGAGTTGAAAGGGACCTTGTAGGTCATCTAGTCCAACCCCCTGCCCATCTAGTCCAACCCCCTGTAGGAGACCCTATACCATTTCTGACTGATGGCCGTCCAGTCTCTTCTTGAAAGCTTCCAGGGATGAAGCTCCCACAACTTCCAAAGGCAACTTCTGTTCCATGGGTTGATTGCTCTCATTGTCAGAATTCAGTAGACTAGCCATGCCCAGTTCCTGCAACGGTTCATTGTACATTTAAGCCTCCAGTCCCCTCCAGGGAAGATGATCTAGGCAAGAGAGCTCTTCCCCACAGTGTAAAGAGATATCAGGACCCAGATTGTTGGGGCCAAGAGGCTCTGTAAACCACTTAGAAAGGGCTGTAAAAACACTACGAAGCAGTATATAAGTTTAAGTGCTATGGCTATCATGGCCTACCCTACAAGGCTGTCATGAAGTTTCTTGAAAGCATGTGTCCGTTTTATTCTGCATTTCCCCCTGGAAAACAGTCAAAGGCTTTCAAGGGCCCCCTGATCTTTCACGCAGCAGCCCTGGGACTTTGGGCTGAGCTCAGCCTCCTCTCAATGGAGATGCAGTTCTGGTTGCATCCAGGGAGCGAGAGCTTTGTCAAACAACTGCAGTGGTTGTGTTGCTAGCGTCTTCGGCCACCGGTGAGAAGCCTGAATGGGGGTGGGGGCTTCTCACCTCCATGGCAGCCAAGCCCTCTCGCCCATCTCCTCATCCAACTGGGCGGGTTCTGGGGAGGGTCTCTGTCTTGATCCCCTCACTCACACTCTTCCCAACTCGCTTTGTTGTGTGTCCGGCAGAAAAGCAGAGCCGAACAAAGGCGCTCTCTTGCCCTTGAGGAAAATATTGTATATACGGGGGAGGGGATGCAGGTACTGCCATGGTCAAGCAGGAAGGTAGTCATTTAAATTGGAGGGGGAACACTGCCAGCAATATGAGGGTCCCTGGAACGATCTCCCCCATCAAGGAGACCTTCTCCAGCCTGGGATGGTGGGGAGGGGGTAGCTGGGAGGCTAAAAGGCAGACCAAAGCTGCAGGGCAAGCGGAAGAAAGCTGTGTCCATTTCACCTGTGCTTTGTCCACTTCTGGCCCATGCGCAGTTCTGGGCAGAGGGTAATAGCTGCTTTCCCCCTCTCTCCTTGTGCAGCACACGCGCAAACACACACACACACACACACAAAATCAACAATGATTGCAGTCAGCCAGCAGGCTTCACCTGTCCTCCCAATCTGACAAAAATAGCAAAACAAAGGCAAGTAACCTCTTCCCTCCACTCCCCCCGCCCCTATTGAGCTGCCCGTATTCCAAGAGGGCTCCGGGTCTTTCAGGGCAACCAGAAAAAAGAAAGGGGGACAAGGAAAGAAGGCAGAACAGGAGTGGGGGCGGTTTCGTCTCCTGCAACGCAAAGCTTGGTCTTCTCCGCGAGGCCACTTGGGCTTCCAGGCAGACCAAGGATGGTGAAACCCCCACCTCTCTCCCCCCCCCCCACTATCTAGGGAAGGAGCGCACAGACCGGCCTCCGCATTGAAGCACTGGAGGAGGGTTGGGGGAAGCCAGAGGAGGTCTTACGGAGACACCCCGCCGGGGAGCCTCTGCCCTCCTCGCCAGCTTCCTTCCTCCGGGGATGGAAAGTCTCCCCCAGTGAAACCATCAAAAGAAGGTCGCTTTGGGGAGGGGGAGAAGGCTCGATACCGAATGGAGGGCCGGGAGCCCGGAAAAGACTCCCTTGCTCTCCGGGAAGAGCCCCTGGCTAGCCCGACGGCCCGACGACTCTTCTTCACATGTAGGCCACGAAGGGGGTCGGCGAGCGGAAAGGCTGCAGCCTGCCTGGGGCGGAGGAAGGAGGGGGCGCCCCGCGCTGCCCCTTCCCCGCGCTGCCCGGGCACCCTTTCCCCAAACCCCACCCCACGGCTCCAACAGGGGAAACGGGCGGAGCGCCCTTCAGCATCATGGACAGCGTCCGGCTGCGCTGGCGGGACCCCAACTTTCGAAAGCCCGGGCGGTTGGGGCGGGGGGCAGCGGGGGAGGCCGGAGGGAAAGTCCGCGGGGGGAGGGACGGGGGGGGGCGGCGGGGCACTTACTTGGCTGAGCTCGGTGCCCATCAGCAGCAGGACCAGAAGGCTGAGCAGCTTGCGGGCGGGTGGCATGGCTTCGGCGGGCGGCTCCAACCACGGGCATCGGCGGCGGCGGCAGCCGCGTCCTCCGGTTCAGGCGACTCCGCGCTCCCGACTCCCTTCGCAGCCCCGCCGAGGAGGTGCTGACAGGCTCTGGGGCGGCGGCGGCGGCGGCGGCTGGCGGTTTAGCAGCCCGGGGCGGGATGGCTGGAGGCAGCGGGCATCCTTGCCGAGCGCGGCTCCCCCGACCCGGCTTCCTCTCCGTCGCCCGCCTGCCCTGCCGATGGCTCCCGGGCCGGGAAGAGGTTGGCGGGAAGCAGAGCTCAGGCGAGCCCGGAAGGGCGGTCTCCCCTCCGCCGCTGCCAAAAGTTGGGAAAGCAGGTGGAGGAGGAGGAGGAAGGAGGAGAAGGTGAGGGGCGCGGGGGATCGGGCGGAGAAGGCAGGGAGGGAGGGAGGGGGGGGATGGGGGGGAGGGGGGGGGGGGGGGGGGGGGGGGGCCGGGGGGGGGGGGGGCCGGGGGGGGGGGGGG